AATCCATCAGTTTAAGTTTAAGCATTAGTCCTCTGGTATGGTATCAAGAGCCAATGTGAAAAGGGTCTTGGGTTCAAATCTCATACATTCCTCCTTCCAAGTGGAATAATTAGCGCCCGCTGGGTATGGAGAAGATCCTTGTTGCATCTACATTTCAAACAAATTTGGCAGTAGGAAGAGAGATTAAATTATATGAAAATGTTTAGTATAAGGAAAGTGTAAAAAGTATATTGGGATGGAGGGGAGTAACATATGGTCTGACGCACCTGAGTTTTAAGTTGCCTCGTAGATTCATTGCCAGACTATGCTTAATCTGATCAGATTGTCTTTGCTGCAATTTGATTGAAAATCCTCCATCTCTTTATTGAGATAAGGTGAGATGGCTGTGTTGACAAACTTCATCTGTGGCATAAACTCACAATTGTTGCTCACTTTGGCAGTTCCTGGGGCATCCATTTATTTTTAAGGCATTAACTGGCAGTCTGACAATTTTGTTACACATTCGGACTGACGTAATGTTTCATGATCTTGCATAGGCCTCTGCGCAAGGATGTTTACCAATTTTGATTCTGAGCATGAGGCGAACTAGTTTTCTGCCAAAGAGACCAGCTGTTGTTATCCTGCACAGCACGAATAAGTGCAAAGAATGGTTACGACCTTTGCTTGAGGTGGCTACTGATATTAACTGGTGCATTTTGCATTAATTAATCTTGTACTTTTTAGCGCAGACCTAATGACTGTTCTCATATGTTCCAGGCTTATGCCTCACGCGGCTATGTTGCTGTTGCCATTGATTCCCGTTACCATGGTGAACGTGCTAATAGTCCAACGACCTATAGTGAAGTATATTCTGTACCATGCATCTTTAGTTGGTCTTTCTATTGTGCTCAAGGCTCTTAAACCTTTTGATTAGAAAAGCCTTAGCTAATTTATAAGCATGTTATTTGGTTAATGAACTGCAGGCACTTGTATCATCATGGAAAAACGGTGACACTATGCCATTTATATTTGATACGGTAAAGTCTTCCCTTCCTATCCTCTCCTTAAAAGAAAAGAGGACAATGAGGTCCTATATTAGACTTCTCATCTTGTAGAAGGAAGAAACAACAAACAACACATTAATTTTGACAGAGGAAGCTAAAAGCATTGGTATTTTGTTGTAAATATGAGCTGCAATTACCTTCTATTTTTTCTATGAGTTTTAGCTTTTGGGGAGGAAGAGGGTTGAAATGAAAAAGAAAAATATCTGAGTTTGTTCCAAGTTTAAGAGTGGAGATACACTGCAGGTATGGGATCTGATAAAGCTGGCTGATTACCTTACTTATCATAGGGATGATATTGATCATGCAAGGATTGGAATCACTGGCGAGTCACTTGGAGGTTTGTTAGAGCAGTTCACCTTATCTGAACTACGATATTTTCTTTGATTTTAATGTACTCACAGTTCATCATGCTATTCAGGAATGCATGCGTGGTTTGCTGCCTTTGCTGACACACGCTATGCTGTGGTTGCACCTGTCATAGGAGTTCAGGTGCAGTTAGTGAAAGCTACTTGTTATTAGTTCTGATATCCAAAGCTGACTAACCAAATGGAGTTTGTAGGGGTTTCGGTGGGCCATAGACAATGACAAATGGCAGGCTCGTGTAGACAGTATCAAGTCCGTCTTTGAAGGTGAACAGTGAAAGGAGCAAAAGCAACATTTCACAATAACTGTTCTTGGGATAATAACTTGATCTGATTTTTTTTCAAACTTTGCATTTGCAGAAGCCCGTGTTGATTTGGGCAAGAGTGCTATTGATAAAGAAATTGTAGAGAAGGTCATTTGCTGATTTTATTTATCTACTTGTTGCATGTGATTGATGTTGTCATTCTCTGTATGTCCCTTGTCCTATAAGGGTGCTAGTTAAAAAAGAAGGGGAACACATTCAAAACGTATACATACTTCTGCATCTATCTATGATTTGGCAAATATATAGCACTGTTGTTAACCCATACTGTGCACCTGTTTAAATCAGGTTTGGGATAGGATTGCTCCTGGTCTGGCTTCAAAGTTTGATGCACCTTACACAATCCCGGCACTAGCTCCTCGTCCTCAGATAATTTTGAATGGTATGACTTTTTAAATTAAGACGTGTTCACACTTTGAATTGACAGTAAAGCTCCCACTACTAAAATTACTGATTTGGATTAGCAGTTTTTATTCATGCTTTGTAAGATAAATTTTCTGTGTAGTGTTTCCCTATTGCATTTTAATAGAGCAGCTTTAATACTGACAAATACTTTCTTTATGTGGCCTAATAGAAACATGGTTAGCCACTAGTAAATTAGAGCAAGATCATTTCTTGTGCAACCTTTTCTTAAAGCGTGGATGAGTGATGTAACAATTTGAAATAATTAATAGCTATTGTTGATCCATCATCTGACATGAAGGCATTGCCTAACCCTCTTGATATGCCTGGACGTCTGGTGGTATCATCTATTACATGTCTATCAAGTAAAGTGCCGTGATTTCTGGGAGCCATATATATCAAAATGTTAATTTTGTCCTAAAACTATTCAATTAAAGAAACAAGTCCAACTCTGCAAAATTTGATTGATGACTTATAAGGACTTTGATATCCTTTTGCTGCTGATGGTATTATTTTGCAGGAGAAACGCTTAATTGCAGATTATTAGTAACTGTGAACTTAGTTTTCTAATAGTTACAGCTTAAACAATATGCCCACTGTTCACTTATTAAGTAATACTTTCACTAATCCTTATTATTTGTTCATCTAAGTAAAATTAGTATTCATTTAACTAACAGTGTACGGTTATGAGTATGGTATTTCATACTAGTGTTGCTCAGTACACGTGACAATTTTTTGACATTTCACAAGTTTATGAGTTTCTTTACCCCAAACAATATCTTTCTTGCATCTTCTGGCAGCCTGAGAGCTCAAAATATTCTTGTATCAGGTTGTTCTTTTTAACTATTTGAGTCCAGAAGATTTGTTATTCTCTGCTGCATGATATAACTATCTTACAATATGTATATATACAACATGCTCAAGTAGTCAAGTCATTGCCAAGTTTCTTGTCATTAAGGTTCCTAATGTCTTAATGTCTTCTTTTAGTCAGCAACTTAGGTCTTCGCCTTCATATTTTTGACATTTTAACTTCTCTTTGAGGTGGCCAAAACCAAGTATTTCCTAACCTAATTTGTTTTGATATTACATTGGACTGAGTCTCTTATCAAATATACAGGTGCTGATGATCCTCGATGCCCCCTTGCTGGTCTAGACATACCTGTATCGAGAGCAGAGATGGCATATAAAGCTTATCATCACAGTAATTATTTCAAGGTAATTAATAAAATCATGATAAGAATATTGGCATGGTTTCTTATGCATGATTCTTGGAAGCAAAATTGTTCAATAAATTTTTCCATGACGTATCAACTAACTAATACGAAGTATTTATTATTTTTATCCCCAAGGAAGATTGTACTTACTGTGGTTCTTCCCTTAGCTACTCATCTCATTTTAAAAATCTATCTCCAAATTTCCAATATTGTCTCAATTTTATCTCAAGAAATGCATGGAGATGGCACTTTTATGTCACGAGTAAAATAAGCTATCAAAGATAATGTCTCCCTCTCTTCAGCTCATTCGAACAATATACATTGCTATCTAATGGTGTATGTACTTTCAGCTCATTGCAGAACCTGGAATAGGACACCAGATGACACCAGCCATGGTCAAAGAAGCTAGTGATTGGTTTGACAGATATCTCTAGAGCAAGCATGGAGGCGTATGATGATTCTGAGCGGCTCAAATTCGATCAAATAAATAAACTGAAATCATACATGATGCTTCCTCAAATAATGAAGCAGCTAATTCTGCATCTTAAAGCTGTGTATTTCTCATTGATAATGTGCCAAGGGAACTGTATTTGTCATTGCTGTCAAATGTATTGTTATGTCCAAAAGCTTCCTTTTCTTTGATTTTACTTCTTCTGTTCTTTCCTTATCATTTAGTATTTTAGTTAAAGTTTGGTACACTGGAATATAGAGAACTTTATTTGTATGCTTAATTTCATTAATAATAAACCAGCAGATCGTCTCTGGTTTAGTTCTACTATATTAGCTGTGTAATCTAAATTTTATGTTCCCGCCTGAATTTTTTTTCAGAGGACCACAAATTCTCTTCAGAGGACTCTCTAAGTAGCAGTGTAGCACCTGCTGTATTTCTCAATTACTAGGACAAAACATCCAAGAATATTGCTGAAGAAAAACATGATCTAGTTAATAAAAACTTGGAAATGGAACCCCGTTACCCCGAAAGTAGAACTGATACTCAAAAAGATGAAACTTGAGCACTGCATCATTATTGCATTTTCCTCGTCCTATCTTTCAAATAGAGGTGGGCTAGGTGGTTGTGAATTTGTGACTTGGGTAATGTTTGATTAGGCAATGTCACATTTCTATAATACTTCTAGCTAGAATTCACGATTCAAGTTTATAGTGATTTTTTAAAGATATATAGAGAGCTACAGACAATGATGTAGACGAAATTTGATCTTAGGTATTGGAGAGTGTAATTTTTATTATACAATCAATTGTACCTAGAACTAGTTAAATACTTAACCCTTCTTTAATAAAGGCAACCCTCTAACTTTATATTTGTCAACACACAAATTTGACTATTAAATCTAAATACGTTGAGACAAATCCATTAACTTATTACATGCTAGTTAAATAGCTAAACAATACAATGATCAAAGAATGAAAAAAATGTCGTTGATCTATATGTTCATCTCATCTAATTTACCAATTTATGGCATAAATTTTGGTAGCATTCAAAGCATATGCTTATAATTTTTCTACCAATTGGTTGTTGGTGTAGTGGTGATTGGAACTACACTTGGTAGGGAGGACCGCGTGTTTGACCCCCCGCAACAACAATTGGGAGGGGACTAAAACCTAACCACCCAAAACTGATCCTCGAATCCGGATTAGCCCAAAGGATAAATCGGATGGAACACCAAAAACAAAAAAAAAAAATTCCCCAAATATATTCTATCTACGTGTAAATTTTGAACTGTAATATCCGTTCGAGATAACATCCTTTTTCCAGGACCCGAATATAATTTTCACTTTGTACATCTTCTTCTTGGGCCTGATGTAGGCAACCCAAGTCAAAGAGACTCAAACGAAAAAGAAAATAAAATTCCAGAAAAAACAGACTGCGTTTCCTCAACTTCTTGGTTCATCCTCACTAAAAAAAAAAACTCAAAAATTCTGGAAATAGGGCAAAAAATAAGTAAAAAATGAGCTCAACAGCAATTCTCTCCAGATTATCATCTATACGAGGAAGATGCAAATCAATTCCTACAATTGCTTACTTATTCAAATCAACCACCCCATCTCCAGTTTCTTCTTCTACTAAGCGCATTCCTCGTATTTCAAGGTTTTTTTTTTTTTTTTTTTTTTTTTTTTTTTGTTTAATCTCTTGTTAAAATGTTGTCTTTTGATTCTTTGATTAATTATTTGGATGAATTTGTTGATGGGTTTTGAAAATTTTGAGATTTTGTGATGTTAATTGAATCTGGGTTTTTGTGGGGTTTTAGGTTACCTGTTGAAGCAAGCTGCTTACTTACAATGTTGCCGTTGCACAGCGCAATTGCTTCTGCTAGATTACAGTCTGTATTATCTGTTGATTCCCAGAGTTGGTGTTTAGTTCCTCAAGGTCTCTTTCTTTTTCTCTCTCCTTTTCTTTACATAATGCTGTTTTGTTTTGACCAAGTGTATGTGGGTGTAACCTAGATTAGTTGATAATGTCTTCGATCAAATTCAATACGAATCATCGCCCAATACGGTTTTCTATAGAAACTAAAATGTTGACCATGTTCATCATATATATATATATATATATATATATATATATATATATATATATATATATATTAAAAGGCATTCCTTTCAAAGGAAAGGTGCCACTTTTCAAAGTGTATGCACCATGTCACAATGTCACGCCACTATCCAAAACATATGCGTCACGTAAGTTTGCCACTTCATTTAACAAAATAAAATATGCTTTGAGCTAGATTCGAACTCATATCCTCCGATACATGAAGGTAATACATTTACCATCTCAACCAACTTTTATTAATGTTTCAAATTTCACATATTATATATATTCCTTTCATTTATTAAGTAAATTAGAGGTAATATAATTCATTTATTTTTCACAAGATTGGAATATAAATACATATAAGGTAAAAAAAAAAAATAGTGACATCCAAGGCAACGCTCGAACCACTACATACACTAACTAAACAAACAATCAAACATAATTACTAAATTACAGAACTACACAAACTAGCAACTCGGGGCATTGGGCACACACTAGTGGGGTTATTATTTGTCTAATTTCAGTTATGTTTGTTTAGTTATAGTTGGTGCTTAGGAAAAGATAGTTATGAGGCTATGTGAAATTATTTTAATGAAATGGAACATAAAACAGAGTTGTAGGATATTACGGTTTTTTTTTTTTTTTTTTTTTTTTTTTTTTTTTTTTGGTTAAAGGTACAAACTTTGAAGGAAGTTGTTAGTGACGGGGATTAAGAGAGAGGAGAGACTAATGTGTAATCGAGATTCCCTCCTAAAACAATTGGCAATAGGAGCAATTCACTTAAGTTGGAATTAAAAGGACAAACAATGTTGGGCAAATATCACACTTGTATCTAACCTCTGCTCAAGTGTGAGTCTTACACTTTCCTTAAGTGAAAAAGGCTTAAAGAAAGCGCCTAAATGCCATAGAGCACTCCCAGTAGGGCGAATGAAATACCCCTTCAATGTGAAAAGTAAAAACCACAAGGCATGAATAGTTTTCCCCTTTTTTTCCTCTTATTATAATAAATTAAGGGTACATGAAACTCAAGTAAGTCTCACAAAATTCACAACATTAATAATTTCACACATAAGAAGATTGAAGCTCGATCACGCAATCTATAATTGTAGCCTCACGTGTCCCCAACAAGCTAGCTATCCAAGTTTCAGCTAAATCGAACCACATTCACCCCTCGATCGGACCTCTTGATTAAAATTGCACCATGAAACCCATGTAGTGGTAGCAGCTCTAATTTCATCTAAAACCATTGTTTCTTCTTTCTTTCTTGCATTTTTCTTGTGAAAGCTCATCAACTCTTCAACCCTTTTTTAGACTTAGCTTACACCCTTCTAATATGCTTATCAAAGCTACATTATAAAGTCCAACAGATAAATATAGGCTTCACCCAACATATAATAGCAGAAGTTAATGAATTACTTTATGCGTCGAGTGGGTTGGACCCTCAACAAAATTCTTTATTTGCTGCTACTGATTATTTGGTATCCCGTATATGTGATGGTGTGTGAGGGCTTGCACAAGCAATTGATTTAGTTAGCCGATAGTTATTATCAAGGAAGTGGATTGTTGCATAATTGTGTGGCACTTCCAAATTGAGTTTGTGTAATGTATGTGGCAAATCTATACTTAAAGGATAATGTTCTCAAGAATACAAAAATGTGTATTATTACAACCATTGAGGCGGAATATTGGAGTTGTGGAAGCATAGCCATAGATGTAGAGGCTTAAGTGCTTCCTTTGAGAAAGTTGGGTTGTTAAGCATAATGAGCATAAAGTATTAGGTGATAATGATTATGAAGTATTAGTGTTATAGATTCGAGATAAAATGTATTGTACTATGCTTGCACCAAACATATTGATGCTAGGTATTATTGGTTGCCAGATGTGATCTAGATACAAATGCAACCAAAAAAATTCCACACTAACAAGAATGGTGCCCACATGCTGACAAAGGTTGTTCTTGAATAAAGCTTGAGATTTATAGTAGGATTGTTGGCATAAGGTTCAAGTAATCATGAAGGGATTGTATTTACTCCTGCTGAGCTAGAGGGGGATATTGTTGTGGGTCCAGCCCACTAGAGGCATAAGGTTTTAGGTGAAGCCCAAATTATTATAGCATGGCTTTCAACATAAGCTATGAGGATGTTAAGCTAAATCCAAACTATATAAAGGTTTGAGGGTTGGGGCTGATTAGATTTTCACATGAAGGAAAAATACAAGTGCAGAGGAGATTTAGAGTTGTTATTAATGCACAGATTTAAAATGGCAAAGTGGTTTGCTCGAAGTATAAATGTAGTTCGGGTAAAGCTTAGACAATAAGTTGGGGACATTTGAGGCTCCAATCTGGTGTTGTCTTAGTTTCAAGTTCTAGTTCACTGGAATTAGAGCTGGACAAAATCTTTGTGTTTTTATGATATTCTTCGTCTTTGCTCGTATAATTGTTAAAAGCAAATGTATGAACTTCTTGGTGGGTCTTAAACCTTAGTAAGAATGAATTGGGTTCTTGTACCTATTTACCCTCACTTTATTACTCTTAGAGAAGAAAGGGTGGACTCCTCAATTTCCTCACAAATCCCTTGGTTTTTTCACATCAAAGGGGCTTTCTACCTACAATTCTCATATGTTTTGATTTTATGTCTCCCTATGGTGAATTAATTTGTAAAATGGGGTTGTGTTGTTAAGTTTAATTGTCTTGATTTTGATCCTAGTTGGTGTTTAATATACAACTTGGTGTTACATAGGTAAGATAGATAGTGGGGAAAATTCTTGATTAACGAAAACTGCAAAATGGTTACACTTAAGGGAACTTAGGAAAGCGAAAGTTGTATTTGTCTTGAGCTGATTTTCAACTTTGTCATTTTGTATATGCCCACATGAATAAGGAAAAGCTACCAAGGTTAAATTTTCCCCTTTATAGAAAATGGGTACTTTGTGGTTGTATTAGGTCTATTTTAGTTAACCTTGCTGGCTGTAGATCCGTAACTTATAAATTTTTTGTCCATCAAATAAATGAGAAAATTTGGATGGTGGCAACTCTGGCAAGTGATCCACTTTATTGCACTTGGAAATTGCTCGTAATTTTTTTATGCTGATAAGGTTGCTAGAAAAGGTTTTGGGAGCACTTATTAACTTTGTGCTACACAGTTTGATGATCTTTTGCTGAGTTTGAAACCGCCTGTGTTTCCTTCCAGGCTGCAAGGGATTATTTCCATTCTGTTGATCAACTAATCTGAGTTTAGGATTACCATATATCAAATTCGGAACAAAGTGTTCTCTCTCCCACCTCTTTGCGATGAGTTTAGGATTACCATATATCAAATAAGGAACAAAGTTTCTCTCTCCCACCTCTTTGCGATGAGTAGGAATAGGTGCTTTGACGTTACGTTCAATGTATAATGCATTTATACTACCAGAAGGAAAGAGAAATATCTTTATCTCATGGCTCCTTGAGTTTAGGAGGTTATATGATGTGCTTTCTTGTTCCTTTTTTCTCCTGTTGCCGAAAGTAGAAAGCTGTATGCTATGTTCATTGCTCTCCTTCACGCCGGGACAATGTGTTAATATCACGAGTTCATATAAGTTTTGGTAAATGTTGTCTAATCATCATCTGGCTTTGTAGTTGCATCACCTACCATTGTTTCCTCGACACATTGTACATTGTTTATTGGATGGGGAATTTGAGTCACAGTAGTCTGTGCCAAGTAACAGATGTATGGTGTAGTAGATTCTAGACCATTCGGCAAGTAGGAAATTCTTTCTCTTGCATACAGGCAACCTTTATAGCTATGTGTATGCTACTTTGAATACGTTAACTTAAGCTTTGCTCCTGATGTTTATAGGATTCATTTGTGCTGGTAGTTGCCAATAGACATTACTAGGCAAATTTTTGCTTAGGTTGAGCTATTTGGTACTTGACAGTAACTTATGTCTTGTAAGATGTAGCTTTTAGAATGCTAGGTCTTAGATTGAGGGTTTTTATTTGGTGTGCTTTAAGTAGCAAGTAGCAAACATGTTTTTTCGTACTATATATTTATATGGTACCTGCGCACGTCTGTTTTTCCTAATAAATTAGAGCACAGTCAAGTCAGTCACACTTGTTGCTTTGTCATTTTCTCAAACGGAATGAGAAGATAATAAAGGTCAGCTTTTCTTCCATCTGCCCGGATTATAACCATACTTGCAATACCACCCCTAAAGAAATCACCTGAGGGAAGGAACTCTTGTGAACTGCATGTAATGTTAGCAGCTAGCTAGATTCCAGGCAACTTCAAACAAAGCTAATAGTGTTTTTGCTGATAGTGCTCTGTCGTGATCTGGCTATTGGGACACAGAGCATGAGAATGTATTTCATTGAAATTAAGTCAAATGGACATGTGGCATGTTTCGGCGATAGTTGAGCATCATGTGATCATGATTTTTTTAGGATGACACCAGTGTTTTAATACTTTTTTTGAAAATATCCACGTGTTTTATACCTTATTTTCTTTAAATATTCACCCTTACTATTCTTGGAATTGACTGTTTCATAACTTCTAAGTTGTTGACTAATATTTCTTGTTTGGTTCTTATTGCAGGCATGTCAATGCCTTTATGATAGCATGTTCGACTATTTTGGATGGTACCCAGGAGCTCCTGCAAGAAGGAATACTTGCAGAGCCAGATTCCCCCTTTCCCCCTTTTTATCACCATCGATTTTATGTAGCATCAGGGAGAACACAACATTGCATGTTTTGGTTGGTTAAAATACTAAATATATCTGCCAATGATTATTAAGCTGCCTTCAAAGTTTTTGATTCCTTGAGATGGATTTGAGTATCATTGTCACTTTGGCCTTGGAGGCTTGGATTTGAGTCTCATTGCATCCATTCTAGCAAAACTCTTACCTCATTTCTCTAAAGGCGTATGCAGTCACTGATGATGTTTTAATACAGGTCGCAGGGAACGTGATCAGCATTGAATCTATCCACCCCTTTTGTGAATCAGAAACGAAATCACCCTTTCTTTATCAATGCTTTAACAAACTTTCAACAGGTTTTCTCAAATCATATAGCCTAGTGACTTTGCTTTGCAACTCTGCAACAGGTAGCAATGTCAATTATACCGTACTCCATAATTGATTGATCACAGCATAGTATTTTCTATTGATCTTCTCATAAAACATACTGGACGATTTAAGTATGGAGATGGACGTGACGACTGATTTCAAAATGACTTCAAGTCTTCAACCATACTTTAACGTGCTAGTATTATTTTCAAAAGGTAAGGTATATTCTGACGCCCCAATATAAGTTAATCTAAGACCGTCTCTCTCCCTTCCACCCCCGCCTCCTTGACACACACTGTTAAGATATCGAAAGATTAATTGCCGTGGTGCCTCACTATATCGAGTCAACAAAATACTTTCGCGCTTCAAGAAAATTAAAGAAAATACAATGCAAATAACAGAGAGTATACACAATACACATAAATGATCTCATTTATAAGATTAGATTACAAAATGAAACAATACACTACAGAAATAAAAAATAATAATGTAAAAATAAAAAATAGTAAACGTATTAAATAATCACCTAGTGCTTTCATTACAAGCAAAATGTGAGTAATGTGACTACAAGAATTTATTTTAAGAGAAAAAAGGAGAAGAGTTCTCCAAATCAATTCAACCTGACTAAGGTGATGTACATCAAATTCAATGCCCACATAGAGATACGCTCAAACTTGGGGGAAATAGCAAAAAAGACGTATATACCAGAATACTAGAATTTTTCAGTTGTTGAGGAAGGCAGAAAATCTCCCCGAAAAAAAAAAGGGTGGAAAATAAATGAAACAAAGTGAGTCAAGTTAGCAAAGCAAGCTAATTTTCCAAAAACATCTAGATTATAATGCAATAACAAGCCGCGATATCACACACTCCCGGTCCTACTAGGGGCGGCTTTTCCTCCTGGCTTCGATTTCGCCATATCAACCAGATCTCCAAACAGCTTATCGTCTCCCTTAGGTTTCTGCCTCATAGGAGGTAAGTAAGAAGCCATCGAATTCTGGTTGGAAGCATTCTTCAGAGAACTGTCATCTCTCATAGACAAACCGTACATTCTCTGATCAAGATATTGAGCATCAGGCTGCTGTGCATAACCATAGCCGTAAGCTGCCATTTGATTTCCATACATTTGAGCTGGATACATAGAGTTCATCTGGGGAACTGGCATTGCCTGAGGAACCATACCCATCATCTGTCCTCCTTGATAAGGCTGAGGGTACATGCCTGGCATTTGGTTCATCACAGGTTGCACATTCATCCCAGGCATATGACCACCTGCCATGTGCGGTGCGTACATTCCTACAGCTTGATCATTTCCAGGTGGTTGAGGTGCAAATGGATGCACACCACCTTGGAAATTTGGTGATTGTTGGCCAGCTACCGACGAGGCTTGCATTGAAGAAGAATATTGAGGAGGAGTGAATGGCTGGTTGGTATCAGCAGGCTGAGACTCCCATGGTGGTGGTGGTAATGACCCTCCATCCTGAGAACCTGAAAGGCCAAATGTAATGACATATCAGTGAAAGGCAACAACATCATAACTGCAAGTCTGACCTACCTCCTATATACTATTCGGACTTGGACTACAAGTGTCAACAAGGGCAATGTGTACAGATCATCTATTTATCCCAAAGTGAAAGACCAGATGCTGATTACCCGTGCCAAGGTACTTTTTGTTAAATAACTGACCAATGTGCTAGCAGTAAAATGAGCAGAAGAGTAATATAGATCTACCATAAGAAATTTCAGTCTCTATCATGGCTTACAAAAGAGCAAAAGAGAAGAGTAAATCACCATAGACAGGTGATGCAGGCTGTGGCTGCTGCTGAGCAACTTGCGGATTCCAGGAAGCTCCTGCAGGTTGTGAATATCCGGCCTGTTCATACTGAGGCAGCCCCATACCTGGAGCCATTCCATTTGCATATGGTGTTGGTTGCCCCGGTTGAAAATTATGCTGCTGTGGATGTTCTGGGCCCAAAGGATATGGCTGACCTTGTCCACCAGAAAAGGCATGCTGTGAATTTGAGGATTCTGGAGTGTTGTCCATCAAAAACATGTCGACAAGAGCTAAAGCATTATGCTCAGAAGGAATAGGACTTGAAGGCGGAGGTGCAGACACCGGGACTAGAGCCAACGAGTCCTGTGCAGTTGGAGTACTAAAATCATCACCTAAAAGATCACCACTCAGGAGGTCAATTTTGGACAATGCTTTGTCTGTTGTGGCTACAGAGCCATTTGCTTGGGGAGCTGGAGGAGTTGCACCTGAGGCAGAGCTACAAAATATAATATCAATGAGAAAAAAAAAATGAGTAGAGAATAAGTTATTAATAATTAAATGTAAAATGCAATTTGAATGGGTTGCTCAATACTTTTACATTTAGAGTGAATCAGTGATGCATGTGAGCTTATGGCAAAGTCACCAATACCATGGTCAACTATCCTATTAAATGTAGATATACCGGAAATAAAAATGCTCATAGCCAAACTCTTGGTTTAATTTGGATTTTGGAGCTTCTCACAAAATAAACCAAAATACTATCCACCACTTTTGGCCTAGATTACTACCTTACTATTCCATCAACATTAATTCAATTTTTACTTCGATATCTAGCCCACATTGTTCAAAAAACATTTCCGTTAAATTCTTTCAAATTTTCAAGTAATGATCTCAACAAGAATTAAATGATACTTCCTCAGTTCTTTTTTTATTGCACAATAAGAGTTGGGCATAAGATTTTTGGTAGTGGAAAAAAGGATGAGAGAGAAAGGTAAAAATACAAGATTGCCCATGTGATGGTATACATAAACTAAACAATCAAGTGTTGAAAAGTAAGAGTATATTTGGTATTTGTAGTATGAACACAAATATTTCTTTTCCTAAAATAGAAATGGTGCAATATTTGTGATACTTCCTTAAAAAGGCGAGTGGTGCAATATAAAAAAAAAAAAACGGAAGAAGTATGAAAATTAGTATTTTTAAAATGTAGCATTATATTTGAGAGATTAATGGTCAAAAAATATCATCTGAAAAAAACGCAGGTTGTTATACAAACAATATGGAGTACTCAATTTGAATCAGGTAGTAAAATCATCCATAACAAACCCAACTACCCAAGTGAGCATAGAAGCACCTTAAAAAAGTTGCAAAGCTGAATTGCAGGTCCCTAGCTCATTATTACCCTCAAAAAAATTGGTTCTACCACTAGTCTATGCCAAACTAGGGGGAGATGGAAGAGGTGTATCATTAACTGATTAATTATTGGAAGCGAACGATTAATTCAGTTGATCACAATTTTTTGGTGTTGTATTTCATAATTCCCAAATGATTATATATTTATTCCAACTTATCCCAAAAAAGCAATTTACATAAGATGGGAAAAATTCTAATTATTTATACTACCTCCGTTCCTGAAAGTTCGACTCACTTACTATTCATGTGGTCAAAATAAAATAACTTTGACCACATTTTATGATTTATACAATCAAAATATATTAAAAAATTGATCTTATTAGATTCCCCTAATGATAAATTTTTCAAATATCAACTTTTTAAAATTTTTACTTATACATAGCCGAATTTATTAATGGTCAAAAGATGTTCATTGGAGACCGTGCAAATGCAAAGTGAGTCGAACTTTCAGGAACAGCGGGAGTACAAGTTATTCAGAAGTTAAGTCCTTCAATCAATAGCAGGATATGATTGGTCAAAACTTAATTTTACAGTGTCTGACATACTTCAAAAAATACTCTGTCAGTGGTCACACACTCAAAACTTGATATATGCACATGGGAATGTCAAAAAATACCAAGAACATTTCTGAAGCATCCCAGCCATTCTAACAATCTACAGCATTTAAACTAGTATTTTACACAAGACCAAGTAGCCCAGTCTAAACCTTGTTTTTTAACCCATGCTTGACAGGAATTTCCTGGCCCCAACACCCAATATTCAATAGGTTCCCAGCTGACCTGGTCAACTTTGTCAGATCACTTTGGCCCATTGTGTTAACATTTATTGTCTAAGCCCCATCCGCTGCATACAGATAAATCACAATACCAAGCACAAGCAATGTGATGACAACAAACATAGACATGCCAGTTAATTTCTCTATACAAAGTTCGGGCCAAGCCATTTACACAAATTGTAAACACCGAGAAACATAACTACTAACTAGTTAAGCCAAACAGACAATATAATTCAGAATTATACAATCAATGCAGACGTACCTTCCATCAGCTTGTTTACTGCTTTCTCCTGTATCAACCAAAGGAGCATCAACATCTACGAGCCCTTTACTAGATTCAGGTTTCGAGTTCTCTTGCGGCACTTTTATTCCCGAAGAAATAGCTTCATGCTTTGCAAGTACTCTCTGCAAATCATCATTCAAAGCCAGGCCTTGGCAAAGCAGTGATTCATCCCTGAAACCAGAATGATGTTTAACTTCAGAGAACAACAATCTAACAAATCTAACTTCACAGCACAAAAGTTGAACAGATTATTAGATCTTTCAGAAGTTGCAACCAATTCCATCAGAAGAAGAAATATCAACTACACAGACACAAGTACAATCTGTAGTACAAGTTAAGAGTAACTAATAAAACCTTACTACCACACCCTAATCATGTACATAATCAGCCTTTTACCAGTAAGAGAGCTAAGCCAAAGGGCAAGGCAGAAACAGAGAGCAGAATAACTATAAAAGTACACACTTTAGCAGTTTGGCTTGATCAACAAAGCAAAAGCACGGCTATGGATGATAACTCTTGTTACTGCAATTTAAGTAGG